ATTTCGATGCGGATTTGTTGGCTCAATTCTATGCCACCGTCCATCTTGGAACAGATAGCGACAGGACGCTGACTTGGATGACCAATGGCAAGCGGTTTTCTGTCAAGTGACGGGCGTTCATGGAGTTACTTGATGTGGTGGATAACGGGCTTGAGACTCCTGTCGGTTTTCGTCCTCACCGCCATGTTACTTCCACCCACAAGCAAGCCCTTTGGCCCTACTGCACTGTGAAGGTTCACCCTGTCACTGAGAAGAAGACCTACGAGCTGTGTCCGTATCTGGACATTCTTCATCGCATATTCCGTGAGACTCTCTTCCCTCGCATTGGGAATCTGGATCAGGTTCACTCCTACCTCGTGGACATGCTCCTTTTCTGTCAGCATGAGAAGGAAGCAAGCACTGGAGAGAGCCTGGATATCTCTCATGTCATGTGGTCTGAACTTGTATCTGCCGTGTCTGAGCGCAAGTGTCCTATCTATGATCCCTTCATCATGAGGCTCATTGAGAGGGCCTGGGCACAGACTTATCCCAGAGTGCTGCTAGAAACTGGAGAGTTGATGTCCCATGAGATCAAGCGTCTGAGGAAGAAGGACAACTGGTCAGCACCTCACACAGGGGGTCCTTCTGCTACTGCTGCCACGGGGGGCCCGTCTGCTGCTGCTGCTGCCATGGGAACTGAGGGTGAGGCTGCTCCTGATGCCCACGATGAGGACTTTAGCCACTCCAGTGCAGAACCATCTTGGGCCCAGAAGCTCAAGCGCAAGATGAAGAAGCTCTTCTGTATGGAGTCCCATGGTCAGTACATGACTCATATGACGGAAAAGAATGCCAGGACGCGCCACAAGGAGATCATGCGTCAGTTGGGAGCCACAGTTGTCAGTGGGTCTGAGGGACAGATCACTGAAGAGGAGGACTGGATTCATCAGAACTGTCACTGGACCGACTCCGATGCCGAGCACTTTTCAACCCACGATGAAGATGCAGAGATGTGATGTTCAGGACCTTCCTCGCCCCTCACCTGGAGTCGTAGTGTCCCTCTCTGCCTTTTTTGGTGTCTCGATGCCAAAGGGGAAGAGAGTTTAGGGATTTGTGTTTGCGAGTGTGTCTTTGTGTCGTTCGTTTGCTTTCTCGTTGTTGGTTTTGTTTGGTTTTGTGCTTGTGAGACCTAAGTTCCAGACATATGGTGTAAAACATATGCTACCTTTGTTATCTTATCCATGTGTTATGCACCTCGGTATCTTATAGCTTGCATGCTTATCCTATCATATATGTTGTTCTCATATATCTTGCTTAGGTTGTTGGTCTCTAAAATATAGGGGAAGCCGTGATCCTAGTATGTGTGTCGTGCAGTCGAAAGCACTTATCTAGTGTGCACAACGTCTAGGGAAAGCCTGCCTATTTTTTAGAGGCGTGGGTTCTCTTGCATTCTATGTCTTTACTCTTTTCTGTGCAAATCCCGTATTGTCATCAATCCACCAAAAAGGGGTAGATTGTAAGGGCATTTTTATCCCTACGGTGTTTTGGTGATTGATGACAATGCATTTGCGGACTAATCGGGTGCTTTGAGTTCTTTCAGATATTCATCCTTCGGCACGAAACGATTATTTCCCCTCGGCGCTCTACTCAAGACGGTGTAGCTTCTTTCGTGACTTTGTTGATGGACTAAGTTTCGTAGCAGTCACCTTTCTATCAAGAGGGGATCTGCTTAGGTATGGTTTGGGTGGAATCAACACGTACACGTCCTTCTCACACCCATCGTTTCTTTCCGCCTCACTGGAGCTTCTCTTTTCTTCCCTGTGTGTCTTTTCCTGGACCCAGCGGTAGTACCGCTGAGGCTCACTAAGCGGCAGTACCGCTCCTCGGAGCGGTAGTACCGCTTGATGGCCTCAGCTGCAGTACCACTGCGGCTCCGTGCTCCTACCGCCTTGACCCTAGTGCGCTCTTTCTTGTGTCTGGGCCTTACGGCACTAGCTGCAGTACTGCGGTAGTACGTCAGTAAGCAGTAGTGCCGCTCCTCGGAGCGGTAGTACCGCTTGATGGCCTCAGCCACAGTACCGTTGCGGCTCCATGCTCCTACCGCCTCGACTCGAGGGCGCATTTTCTCGTGTCGGGTTTTGCGGTACTAGCTGCGGTAGTAGTGGCGGTAGTGCCGCTTGTGAGCGGTAGTACCGCCCTGCCTCCGCGGTAGTACCGCTCTGGGTCCCAGCCCCAGCCCCTTCCTTCTAGCGCGGCAGTACCGCTGAGGGGGAGCGGTAGTACCGCTTATGAGCGGTAGTACCGCCCTGCCTCCGCGGTAGTACCGCTCTTTGCGGGGCTGAGTGGGGGGTAACGGTTGGATTGTTCCCCCCACTATAAAAGGGTGTCTTCTTCCCTTCCTTTGACTTACCTCTTCCACCATTAAAGCTCCATTACTGCTCCAAGCTCCATTTTCGCCCGATCTCACTCCCTAGCCAACCAAACTTGTTGATTTGCTCGGAAGTGGTTGAGAAGGCCCCGATCTACACTTCCACCGAGAGATATTTGATTCCCCCCACTAATCCCTTGCGGATCTTGTTACTCTTGGGTGTTTGAGCATCCTAGACGGTTGAGGTCACCGCGAAGCCATAGTCCATTGTGGTGAAGCTTCGTGGTCTCGTTGGGAGCCTCCAATTGAGTTGTGGAGATTGCCCCAACCTCGTTTGTAAAGGTTCGGTCGCCGCCTCCAAGGGCACCAATAGTGGAATCACGGCATCTCGCATTGTGTGAGGGCGTGAGGAGATTACGGTGGCCCTAGTGGCTTCTTGGGAAGCATTGTGCCTCCACACCGCTCCAACGGAGACGTAGTTCCTCTCAAAAGGAAGGAACTTCGGCAACACATCCTCGTCTCCACCGTCTCCTCTGTTGGTTATCTCGTGCCTTTACTTGTGTAGCTTATTTGTTTCATATATCTTGCTTGCTTGTGTTCCTATTCGTGTTGCATCATATAGGTTGCTCATCTAGTTGCATATCTAGACAATCTATTTTGATGCAAATTTTAAATTGCTAAAGAAAAGCTAAAAATTGTTAGTTGCCTATTCACCCCCCCCCCTCTAGTCAACCATATCGATCCTTTCAACAAGGTTAACTCGCTCCTCTCCGAATCGTCACTTTCCACAAGTGAGACATGGCTACTACCTCAAACATATGTGCTATGCATGACAAAGAACTAAGAGGAAGGCCATGAAACAGCTAGGAGCATTGGACAAGACGGCGATGACACCAAGTGCGAGGAACAAGAGGAAGAGCTGCCAGGAAGCTACAGCTCTCGGACGTCCGACGATCTCCGGACGTCCAACGCCTGGAGACTCCACCAGCCAGATCGACTCAAGTCGAGGCAATCTACAACGCCCGGACAACCGCCAGACACCGGACGTCCGACACTCATCAGCGCCCGGACGACCGACGCTGACCGGAAATCCGGCGCCACCTCAACCGAGCCGAAACGTCGGAAGTCCGGCCTCCTCCGGACGACCGGACGCCAAGGTTTTTGAGTCGATGAGTCGGCGAGTCGCTCAGGGGGGGCGACTCTAGACTAGTCGTGACTAGTCGTGACTCATGGTCGACGAGTCGACATGCGATGAGTCGACGTGAGTTAAGTAGTAGGGAGCAGACCAGCGGCAACTAAGGGAGGAGCCGCAGCAGCAAGAGATGGGAGGGGCAGACCTGCAGTAGCAGCAACCAAGGGATGAGCAGCAGCAACCAGGGGAGAAGGGGACGAGCAGCCAGCCAGCGGCAGCGGCTGCTGCAGAAGAGAGCTGGGTCGGGGGAGGGGAGTGGAACTGTTCGATCTAGGTTTCCAGACGCTCCAATCTTCCTTCAATATTGGCCCAGAAGCAATATTAGCCCAATAAGGCCCAATGAAACCCTAGCCTGCCTAGCTCAATCTGAACCATCTATATTCTCTAATCTTCACCGTCCATCCACTCTCTTCTTTCTCTCTCTCTCTCTCACTTGCTCCCCTTCCAGCCTCCAGGAACGAATCGACAGCCGCAATGGCCTTGCTGCAGCTCCTCTTCCATGGCTTCTCTGCCTTCGCCCCTTCCTCTCCGCCTCCCCCATCCTTCTCTGCTCCGTTTTCTACGTCCAACTCCTCTTCCATCACAGGTTGATCGAGTCGTTCGACTCAAAAACCGCGACTAGTCGAGACTAGTCGGGACTAGTCGATCAAGTCGCTCGACTCATCCAATGATTCGAGTCGACAGGTTGAGTCAACCTTCATGTAACGACTCGTCGACTAGTCGACGACTAGTCGCGACTAGTCGTTCGACTCGAAATCCATGCCGGACGCCCGCGAGAGACCAGACGACCGACACCCGTCGGACGTCCGACGCCTGTCTGCGCACAGTGTATCGGGCCGAGGCCCATGTATCCCTCACTTACCCCTTCGTGGCCCTAGACTATATATACTCCTCCACCTCCTCCTAGTTAGGGTTAGCAAAGGATTAGCTCATTTGAGAGATAGAGCTTTGCTCACCCACTTGGTTACTTCTCCATTGGAGTTCACGACCTCTTCGGAGAAGATCCCCCAAGCGGATTCAAGATCCCTCACGGGAAGACCCCCTCAAGGCCTCCTCACGGAGATGAACTAGTTACCTCTTGTATCATCCTTTGTTGATCGTGGATCATGTATCTCTTTGTGTTCATGGATCTAGCACATGTGTGATCGTTTCTCGTTGATTTGAGTGATTCCTCTCGTTTCCCCTCGTGATTTCCCTCGTGTTTCCCCTCGTGTTCATCGTGTTCTTCGTGTTCTTCGTAGGATCCCCTCCATTTCATGAAAGATCGGCCCTAGGGTTTCCACCCTACATCAGAGGAGGTATTCGAGAGGTGCACAAAATGGGGTAATCTCGTGTATCCAATGGTCAGTTTTTGCTGGTTCTGCTTTGTTGGTTATTCCCAAGACTTTTAATCTTCAAGTTCAACCTCACAGTATTACTAATACTCCACATATACAGTTGAGGTTAAACAACAGAGAAACTAACCCAATTGCAGAATCTACTGTGGTACCCTGCACCCACCAGGAAATCTGGGGACGAGCCCTTTCCCACTGGGCACTGTTTCCTATACTCTGGCACACACATGGGATGGGATGGTAACGGAAGCATGTAGTAAGTGGTAACTTTGCAATTTTTTCTTGTGAGAAAATATGCTGGTTATTGTGAATGCAAAAGAAGAGCAAGTTTGTCGCACGCTGGATTTTGCGGTTTGCAATTGGTGCATAATCCAAGATCAAGACACAGCAATTGGTTTGGACCTTTTAAGCTGATGTTATCTACTGAACAATTAAGTCCACACTAATTCTAACACTCTAATTGTGCCAGTGCCACATCCATAAAAAATGCACCGCTGAAAAGCTCATACAGAAGCATCCTTGAACTGATAAAATTAACTATCAAGGGCGATGGATTTTTTTATGTTGAATTGCTAGCAGAGATTTGTTTGCACGAAATGGTAAGGTTATTACCTGCAGTACCCACAAGCTTGGCCTATTTCCATTGAAGCCATTTTTGCACAGGCCCTCTTGTAAATCAGGAGACTCTAAAGGAGTATGAAAGAGAACACAGCTCCGCGGTGTTTTTGCTCCTGCTCCTGTCATACCCCAATAAGTAGATAAAATTATATGTGCTTGTGAAAATCCTTTGTCAAGTTCTCAGCATATAAATTTTGAATATGCAAATGATAGATAGCATGTATTATTTTTGTCTTCCACAGTTATGAATATAGCGGTAGAGAAGAAGAAACAGATCTTCAATATGCTGTAATAAAAATACAGCTTTGGTGAGTCTATATTTCTATTTAACTTCGCATAGGACATATCTTATTGCTTTAGATTTGCGAACAATTAGCACTCGGGAGACAAATGAAATATTAAACGCTCATCCAAGATAATAATACATCACAAACAAGCACCAGTTCCTCAAAATGGGACAGAATAAGAATCTGTGTAGCATAATACTAATCACACCTCGGAGTTGCTGGGCTGCTGTACTGAAGATTCTTCCAGGTGATACATCGTACACGATAGACATCCTTGGCCAGCTAAGCCTATATGGGCGAGTGTCCATTCCATCTGTCAACAAAACAATCTGTACGGAATAAGCCCTGGTAACAGGCGGAGCAGAAAATATTTGGCATAAAACTGGTTAATTTCAGTACCTGTCTAAAATTGTCTGACCTACTTATCAAGTGTTGCAATTTGTCATCAAGATATTTAGTAGTTAGCCTATAATGCTCTGCAGATGGCATTAAATGAGAGACGAGAGATTCCGAAGCTTGATGTGCCACATCAAGTGAAAGTAGCACAGCAGCATATGGATCAATAAAAAGGGGATCTGCAACCACAAAAATTATTATAAAACATTGGAATCAGCAAACAGTCATATTATTAGTCACATTTATACCTCCAAAAAGAAATGTGGAGTAATACTCTACAGTCTACAAAGATCATTATCCAAGCTTTGCAAAACATGATTCAACCCTTGTATTTGCCCTACAACTCACCTCCTAGGAGGATTGTTACAAACCCCCTCTTTTCAATACAATGAAACGCAAATCGTCTGCGTTTTCTCGAAAAAAAACTGTATCAAGCTTTACATTGTATGCGACTGAGACATAGTTGCTGTATTAGCTACTTCGGAAATCAAATGAGCATGCTAGATGCAACTAGAACGGGAAAACTTAAAGTAATCATGTGAAGGCACAAAATGAAACATCACACCATGTCATCACAAACAGAAACAAGATATTATACACATTTACGACTTCTTTTTTACCCATAAAGCACACACTATGGGTTGTTATTTGTTAAAGGCTTGTCTAGTGCAGCAAACATCAATTTATGGTGCTGAAATAACAAACAAAATGAGATTGTGCTTTGACAAATAAACTCAACACAGGCAGGTATCAATATATTGCCCTAAAATGAACTTATCCCGTGACCAAGAGAAGGTGAGACATTGACGGCTAAATGGTCTGTGTTTTTTAGCTGAGGACATTATAGCTTGACAATGACACAGAAAAGAATATTAACCTTTGTGGGTAATGGTTATTCAGCATGAAAGGTGATGCCAAACATTTCTGAGGATCACAATTTGTGCTGCCAAAAAATACCTAGCTGTTCTTAGTTCTAATTTAGCATATCGAAAGTGAGATGGTACATTGTATGTAGAGATCCACACAAAGTTACATTAGGTGCTGAAACACATTTCTTGGAGGACGCCAATTGTGTTGTCAATTGAGAAAGAAGGGGGTACTACGAACAGTTTTCAGAGTTCACGGGGTAAACTGAACCAAAACAAAGTTTGAGGTTGTAACGTGAACTCTAGGACAAGTTCAGGGGGTAAAGTGGACTTCTTGGCAAAAGAAACGCCAGCAGATTCACCATACACCCCTTCCCTCCCTAATAACCGCCAATATGGAGGCTAGGGGTGGTAAAGAATAAGAAAACTCGCTATTCACTCAGTTTATTTTCCATAATAAAGTAATCTAGGAGAGATGGCCGAGCGGTTCAAGGAGTAGCACTGGAACTGCTATGTAGCCTTTTGTTTACCGAGGGTTTCAATTCCTCTCTTTCCGTTTTTCTTAATTCATCAACATTAAGTATCAATGTATCAAATCAGATAACGATTTATTCCAGCAATAATATCTTATTTTTATTTAATAGAAATTAGAAATTCTCTATAGCAAATTACTGTGGTAAATCTCTATACCCGCCTGAATCTTCAAAAATTAAGGAGTGCACTCCAAGAACTGGGTTGCAGCCTCCATATTTGGAGGTTGGGGGTGCTGTTTTAGAACCGACACGGCGGGAGTGAACTTTCAGGTAAATTCTTCCTCTGCCTGCCAATCACGCTGCCGCCCGTAGCACCGGGAAACACGCCCAGCAATAGCCACCACCGCGTGTCCAGCCCGCCCGCAGCCGTTGCCGCCTATTTTTCCCGCCGCCCACACCAATTTCCTGCATCGCGCCTCCAGCAGCAATAAAACACCTGCTGCCGAGGCCTCTACAGCCAGCCCTCCCCTCCCCCCATCAGCTCCGACCTCGGCTTTTCAGCGCCGCAGCCTCATGGCTAGGGAAGCCTGGGCCGCCCGCCACCTCGACTGTGCCGCTTGCCCCACCCTAGTCTTTGACGAGCAAGCATGCTTCGACAAAAATTTCCCCCATACATGATACATATGAACTTAACTAGTTTGCAATGTTGTTTAATTTTTTGATGCTGATCTGGCCAAAGTTTTGTTAAAAATCTTTGCCAAACCAAAGTAGAAATTTGGAGTACATGCCAAAAAGGAAAATGGAAAAATTAGGACTGCGGTTTGGAGAACCTGACTTAGTCCTTGACTTGCCTAAAAGGACAACAAGTTGCAATTCTAAGCAAATCCAATCAGATCATAGGAGCAAAACGCATCCACTCAATTCGTCCAACACGTTGTGCGCAACGCAGTAGTGCCAACATCAGCACAATCGTTGACCCAGACAAGCCGGAACATCCGATGCATATGGCTAACCTGGGCGGCGTGATTCTTCGTCCCTGAGGCGAGTGGCGCGGAGAGCGGCGAGGAGGAGCGGGGCGCGCTGCTCTGGTTCCGGGAGCGGGCCTCCGCGGCCGGGGACGTCGGCGCCGGTGGCGAAGAGCCCCGGTTGCAAGAGCCTACTCTTCGTTTGGCAGTTCCAGGAAGGGAAGGCGGTGGGCGGTGGCCGAGGAAGACGCGGATGTGGCCGGAGCAGCGGCGCGGCGAGCGGCGGCAGCACGGGCATGGTGGTGCGGACGTCACATGCTGGCCTTCCGTCAATCGGGTGACCTGCTATATCCACCCCCACAGTTGCTCCGTGTGCTGTCCGGGCCAACTTCAAAGCTGACCCTTAGAGTATCTCCAACAGCCGCGCCAAACTAATGCCGCACCGTAAAATTGCTCGTTTTAGCACGCGCGCAACTGGTATAGTTGCTCCAGCGGGCGCGTAAAAACAGCGCGCGCAGCATATGCGGTTCAGCGCGCGGCCCGAAACTCAATCGCGCGTCGCTTATTTGCTGCGTCCGCTCCCGCGCGCTGGACTCTCGTGCGCTCGCTCGCAACTCCCACCCCCATCCAACCGCGCCGCCGCCGCCGACCGCGCCACCCGGCGACCGTTCCGGCGCTTCCCCGGCTTATCCCCGCCCCGCGGCGGCTTCTCCGGCCCCCCTCTAGTCCCGCCGCCCCTCGCGCGCGTCCTTCCTCCGACGAACAGCGCCCGCGCGCTCGCTGGTGCTCGACGCCCGCAAGGTGTTCGACAAAACGCCTAGAAGGTATGTATTGCTCAAAAGCCATGAATTCCGTGCATGTTGATTGTAGTTTTTATATCATAGTATTGAACATTGTAGATGAGTTCGTCGTATGATTCTTCCGAAGAAGAATTTGATATGGAAGAGGAGGAGGATCTTGCAATGATCATAGCTATGCATATCAATAAAAAACCGAAGCACGGTGGTTCGGTTATGGGTCGGCAGAAAATTTGGAGGGATAGGATCGATGCCCACAACAGATTAATCAGGCATTATTTTGCGGAGAATCCCACATACCCCGAGTCGTATTTTCGTCGCCGGTTTAGGATGAGCACCAAGTTGTTCAGGCGCATTGGAGAGAAACTAGCGAGGCATGACCGCTTTTTTCAGCAAAGGAGGAATGTCGTCGAAGAGCTAGGGCATAGCATCTTTCAGAAGGTGACAGCTGCTTTGCGTATGCTGGCATACGGTATGCCGGCTGATCTTGTTGATGATCACTTGGCTATGGGTGAGAGCCAAGCCATCATGTGTGTCAAGCGCTTCGCAGTCGGAATTGTGCAAGTGTTTGGCGAGGAGTATTTGAGATCTCCCAATGCTGAAGACGTCGCAAGGGTATTGGCGATGAACAAAGCTCGCGGCTTTCCTGGCATGCTTGGCTCAATAGATTGCATGCATTGGAGTTGGAAGAATTGTCCAAAGGCATGGCATGGGCAATTCCATGGTCAAAAAAAGGGTTTCACTATAATCCTTGAAGCGGTGGCCGATCAAGAGACTTGGATTTGGCATGCATTCTTTGGAATGCTTGGATCTTTGAATGACATCAATGTTGTCAACCGGTCAACACTGATGAATAAGATTGCAAATGGTGAGTTGTCACCGGTGCAGTTTGTAGCAAATGGTCGTACATACAACTATGGCTATTATCTAGCGGATGGCATCTATCCAAAGTGGCAAACCTTTGTCGAGCCGTTGAAAAAGCCAGAAGGTAAGAAAAATCTTGATTTCCACAATGCTCAGGCGACGGCTAGAAAAGATGTGGAGAGAGCTTTTGGGATTTTGTAAGCCCAATTTGCTATTGTGAGAGGACCGGCTAGATTTTAGGATCAGAAAATGCTTTGGTACATCATGCACGCTTGTGTGATCATGCATAACATGATCATCGAGAATGAGCGTGGTCAAGATATAGACTACTCTCAGTATGAGTTTTTGGGACATCCCGTGCGAGTGCGACGGAGGGCTGAAAAAGTGGCACGTTTTGTTGCCTCCTATCATGCCATTTGACGTCCCGCAGCGCATAATGATCTTCAGAAGGATCTCATTGAGGAGTGGTGGGCATGGAATGGACGACAAAGAGCATCATGATTTGTGCGTTTGATATTGTATTGTTGAACTATTTGTTGTGTTTATTGCACTATTTGTTGTATTGAACCATAAACTGTTTGTTTGAGTTGTAATAATGAAATTGAACTATTTATTTTGATTTTTTTTGTTTGTGTTTGATCTTTTATAGAATGCATATGTTGTTTGTGCGAGAGTCGCGCGCTGCATTTTTGCGCGCTGCTGGAGTGGTGCGCGCGCTACTTTTTAGCGCGGCTGCTGGAGCCAGCGCTGTGCGCCGCGCCAAACCAGACAATGGGCGCGCGGCAAAGCAGTTTTTTGCGCGCGGCGCGTGTCGTGGTTCTAAGTCTGACAGTAGTGTAGGGGGGTAAGTATGGAGAGGCAAGATCTTAGCTATGGAGAAGTTGTAAGCACGCAAGGTTTACGAGTTCAGGCCCTTCTCGGAGGAAGTAATAGCCCTACGTCTCGGAGTCCGAAGGCGGTCGACTGGATTATGCGTGTATGAATTACAGGGGTGTGAACCCTTGTCTCGAAGGAGGGGGTGGCTTATATAGAGTGCGCCAGGACCCCAGCCAGCCCACGTTACAAAGGGTTCAATGTACATTAAGGCAGGGCATTACTGGTAACGCTAGTAATAAAGTGCTATGATGACCATAAAAGCTACTTAATAACCGACCGTTAGCATGCTGAGTGTCTTTAGGTCTCCTGACTGTCGAGTGGCTTGGTCTTGGTCGAGTGGTTGCTTCTTGGTCGAGTATCTTCGAGTCTGTCGAGTGGAACACCTCCAAGTCGATTGAAAGATGATTTCTTCTGGAGATGTCCTTGTGTAGGTCAGTTTGGACAGGTCCATGCCCCTACCCTAGGTACATAGCTTCATCATTAGCCCCCGAATGGATCGAGGTTTGAGTGGGAAAGGGATTGAGCACTTCTCCGACTCATTTTTCATGCCGTGAGCATTTCTTGTTTCGGATCAATGAACCCGAGCGATGGCAGCGACTTCCTTTCCAGTCGCCTTGATCCATTCTTAGGTTTTTGTCGAGTGAGTTTCTTTACTTGAAAGGCTCCGAGTGACGGTGCGGAGGAGATCTTTGGTCTGACAAGTTGTTCCACTGCCCGCAGATTTCGTGGGATCCGAATTTTGGGAAGCGCGCGGGACGAGGGAGGCCGCAGTAATCGGATGGGATAGAGCGGAGCTGCCTCGATCCCCGCGCCACCTTTTTCGCCATGTATCGCGCGCACGATTGCTACGGGATTTGACAGAACCGCCCGGGCCTACCAGTCAGCCACTCGGAAGCAGCCTCATATAAGGCGTTGGACCGGGGTCTCCCGAACAGTGCGTCCCCATTATCTCTTCTCCTCTTCACGCTCCTCCGCTGCGCTCGCTCTTGCCCTCGCGCCACCGTTCCATACGCGTCTCGCCGGTGACGATGGGGAAGGAGAAGACGACGACTCTGGAGCGGGCAAAGAAGGCGAAGGTGAGGTCGAAGGGGAAGGCGACCAGTCGGGGCGGATCCTCCTCGCGAACCAGCCTGCCGAAGGGCTGGATCCAGGGCGACTGGATCCACTCGAAGCTCACCCAAGAAGACCTCGATGACCTGGCCGAAGGAGGGCTGATCCCCTATGACTCGGCGCGGCTTCCGGGGAAGGAATCCGAGCCGCAACCCCGGGAGGGTGAGCGCATTCTTCTTGCCACCCACGTCGACCGTGGATTTTCCTTGCCTCCTCACCCTTTTTTCGAGGATTTCTGAACTTCTTTGGGGCACAACTCCACCATTTTACTCCCAACACAATCGTTTATCTCGCCGCTTTCATTTCTTTGTGTGAGAATTTCCTGGGTTGCCGGCCTCACTGGGGTCTTTTCAAGCATATTTTCACTTGTCGCTCCCAGACAGTGAAAAAGGCTAATCCGAGTGACGAGAGGACTCAAATGATCCAGATGTGTGGGGGTCTTGGTATCCAGATGAGAGGGGAAATCTCCTTTCCGTCCATGATTCTTCCCGACTCAGTTCGCGGATGGCAGTCGACCTGATTTTACTGTAAAGACCAGTCGACGCTAGGGCAGTCGACTGGCCTCCCTCCCTTTACCATGGACCGAGTGAGGAAACCATCCCCTTTGAAGGTGCTCCCGGAGGAGAAAGCGCAGGTGAGGGTGTTGGTCGAGCGAGTGGTCCAGCTTATCCGTGACGGGGTCACCGGTATGGATCTCTTGGAGGTCTTCCTTCAGCGGCGCATCCAGCCTCTTCAAGCCCGAGACCATCCGATGTGGATGTATTCGGGTCTTGAAGACTCCACTCGGATTCACCCGGAGGAGGTCGATGACGACACGCTGGAGAAGTGGTTGTCGGGCATTGTCGGAAACAAGGATAACCCCAGGGGAGCCAGGAGAGTTCCCCCATTCGACCAGTCTCATGCACCAGAGAAGGTCTGATTCTGAGTTTTTGCTTGTAATCTGAATTCACTCGCGCAGCTGCCTATACTGCGTCGACTGACTTTGTTCTCCTTGCTTTCTTTCAGGCCATCATTGAAATGTATTCAATGCCCAACGGAGAGCAAGAGCAAGCTCTGGAAGGCGAGGCGAGCGGCGGCGACAGTGGCGAGTGGACTTCCGACGGTGAAGGGGATGGAGGAAGCGACGACTCAAGCGATGGAGAAGAAGTCGACTCAGGGAGAGGCGATCCAAGCTTGACCAAGAACGACCGAGCGCCCGCGAAAAGGCAACTGCTCAGGCTGGTTAGACTTTGAAGCGTCCTCGGATCTCTTCACCAACCCCGACTGAGAAGGCGCCAAAGCACCCCAAAGTTGCAGAGCCGAAGACTCGGAAGGCGTTGCCGAAGATTAAGATTGATATCCCCGTCGCTTCCGCGTGAGTGTCTCTCTTTGTATTCACTCGACGCTCCACGCTGTTTGTTTTTCTTGTTTTAACTGGACGAACTTTGGAACTGTCAGCGCTGCCACTTCCGAGACCTCAGCTTACAGGGACAATGATGAGGTGATGGAGGATGCGGTCACTTCTAATCTGGGTATGATTTCTGCCATACTGTCTTTGTTCGGTCGATTCAACTGCAATGTGCATCATTGGGTGATGTGATTTTGGCAATTGAACTTTGCACAGCTCCCAACATTATTGACCTCCCCGATGATGATGAAGAGCCAGAGAGGT